CTTGACCGTCCAAACAGACACACAATATGGAGCTCTCAACATAGGCTAGTTTCCACAACTAAGTCGATCACAACTCCATTTCACGTCCTGACTGTATATCACTGCCTTGTCATGATAACTTCCAGACAACCACACTTAATCGGCAACCCGCCAACTTCTTTACTTTCATCAACACTCAAAATTCCCCTCAAAATCAAACATCTCAACACTGTCATGCGCCGACTCGCCAACACAACTCTTAAGCATTTGGCTTAACTCCAAACAATTCAATGTACACACCATCTAAGCTCGCAAGACACATTTATTCCCTCCAACATGATCCCGTCAAACTATAGTAGCGTTTAACAACACACTGAGCCATCACTCCACACTTGAAGCATCTGGGAGAAGCACAATTTTCTCCCCCACTTATTTCAATCCTACTTCTGCAGTCTCCAGTCTCTGGCGACTGTTGTCCCACCAAGCCTCAGTTTCACCTTCCAACATGCGAGTACCAAACTTCACTTTTTGCTCATCACTACAACCCATCGTTCTGAAAATTTTCTCAATTGCCTTCAACCACCTCTGTGCAGCTTTAGGATCTAGAATTCCTCCTTCAAATGTTGATGGCTTATTATTTCGAAACTGTGCCAAATCGCCAAATTGCGCACTCGCAGCTTGGTTTTGACTAGCAGCCACCTGCGCCATTGCTTGCATAGTGGCAGCCAAAGCAGCATCATCCCTTCCTGCTATACCGCTTAATAATAACAACACAAGGTTAAAAGGTACACAACCTCTATCCTAAGGACATACTCAACTACTACACTAGCCGGACGAACCGACCTGCTCGGATACCAATTGTAACACCCCACTTCCCAAAATTAAATAAAATACAAATATTTCAATTAAACATCAGAGTTTCCTTTCAAAAGTGGGATATCACATCCAAATAATTCAACATACTCATCATTAGATGGTTTTCAAAATAAAACAGCGGAAATTATCCTTAGTCAACATTCACAGCCATCCGTCAAATCACACAAAAACATTCATTAAAAGGTTCACCAAACTTGATACGTCACAGGAAATAAAATAATTCAACATGAAGCAATTAAACGCCCATATCCCGTGTTACGTATCAGAGCATCCTACGACTCGACTCACACACCACTATCCAAGCTAGCTAAGTACCTGGATTGTCTGTACCTCTGAAGAAGCACAGACCACAACAACAACAAAGGGGTGAGAAAACATGATCAAAATTATCGGTAATATAGTACATGAAATAAAGGTAGTAATCATATAATTCATCACCCAACATTCATCAAACACGACCTACTGTCCAACATCAACACAACACGCCATAATGCAATTATGCAACTCAACACCATGCATGCGGTACCGACTCATTGGTTCATTCAATCGAACCCCGAATAGATCACATACACCCGTCCTTGGCCATGATCTATCCCCACCATTCTCCGCAATGGAGTACGGATGAATCACATACACTCCTCTTGAGAAATGATTCATCCCACCAAACACCATGATACGCATAACACCAAATGCATAATAAATGAACTTAAGCACACTAAGTGCACACGATCCTCTGATCACATCACCATACAATATATACATATTACACACCAATTTAATCATTTCAATATCCTAACATAAACCATTGCATAATCAAATCAAATCATATACACCAATGTACAACAACTAAATCCAAGCACACTAAGCGTACACGATCCCCTGATCACATCACCATACATCATACATACGTATTGTTCATCGATTAATCATTTTAATTAAAGTCACACGATCCTCCTGATCGCATCACCGTACCTCATACATATATCACACCACCAATTTAATTATTTCAATTAATATTCAATACTACACAATTTCCCCTTTTAGCACCAAGTAAATAATCGGTAAATCATCTCAATTAATCCATGTTTTAGTTAAGATTTAATTAAACAATGACTTCCCAACATATTGAATATAAAAATATTTGGCAACTAATTATATTCTCTATACTATGTTATAGATCTATTCATTAGCTTTCCAACGCTTCGAACGGGAACTAAAACCGACTTACGGATTAAAAGTTATGGCCAAAATCGTCGGAACAGAAAATTCCAATTTTCAACTTTTATATAGCATGAAATCGATTGTTGTATTAGTGAAATCGATTGCTTGACCCAAATTTTCACATTTTAGCCTCTGTTTTGTTGTGCAATCGATTGTTGTACTAGTGCAATCGATTGTTTACTGTGTGTTTTCGAAAAGTTATGCAGAAAATGGTATTTTTCACCAACCCTTCCCTCTTTGCTACCACAATCAATCCCCACATGTTAGGGTATTCACCAAACTAAAACATCCACTAAATCATGAGTATTTTATGGGTTTTCTTCCTACATAAACTTCTACTCATTCACCATTAATCCACAATTTCAAATCTAGGGTTTTCTCCCTACATAAACTTCTACTCATTCATCTATCTTCTGCCCTATCATTACTACAACTATCACACACTACTCTAATCATTTTCTCCCTTAAACTTTCTCCCCGGAACCAATATTCATGTTCATCACTACTACTGCAGAAGTTACACAGAACCTCACCAATCTCACAACAACACATGCCCAATTTCATCAATGGCAGCAATACTCATAAACACATCAATGTACACGAAATTCATCATAACAGTAACAATTATAAACACATATTCACCAATTCATCAACATACAAATCATGCTCCTCAAAATCTCTATGGGGTTAAGGAATCCCCTCTACCCAATTCATGTAAATACCAATCTCAATCAGTTTCTCCCCCTTACCTCGATTAATTGCTCAGATTGTTGAGGAATCTTGAAGAATTTGGCAGCCTTAGCCTTCCTCTCTTCCTCCTTGCTCTTCCTCTTTACTCTTTCTCCCAAACTGTTTATCGTGTTCTCCTTCTCTTCTTCTCCCAAAATCCCCTTTTATTACTTATTCCCATAATAATAATAATAATAATAATAATAATAATAATAATAATAATAATAATAATAATAATAATAATATTACTATTAATTATTAAATTATCACCACTATTAATTATATTATATTACTATCAAATTCTATAGTTATTAAATAATTCTTACAGTCTAAGGGCACCCACTAACGCACTCGGACACACCCCCACATAAGGACACACCAAAGTAAAATAATATCAAAAAGACTAAATAATTAAAATGGGTGTTACAATTGACATCATCGAAATGGACAACTCATTCAATAAAGGAAGCTGAAATTTGGTCAGATCTTTTTTTGAATAAGATGTAAGAATTCACAAAGTTGAGTGAGATTGAAAGAGAACCAAATAAACAAAAGTCAAAGGTGGAACTACCCATAGATATATATTTAGACAATGACACATGTTTTGGTTCATTTTAGCTTTTCTCCAACAATGTATTTAGATGGTTAGACATGTTTTGTATGTAATGTTGAATTGATATTAACGATGTAAATTGTATACATTTTCATACATTTTGATGTATATTTCAAATTTTCAATTTGTTTTTATAATTTGTGTTTCAAAGTAGGTTCTGCTAAGGGTGAATCCATATATATATTTTCGAACGCACTCCAATATTATTAAAAAAATGATAACAAGAGTTTATTCGAAAATATATTTTCGAACTCACGCTAATTTTACTAAAACGAAACAGGATATAACCAGAATTACATTTTCGGAATATCCTTTGAGACAACATTGAGTTTCTAAAGTCCATATTTATCTAAAACTTATATAATTATAGGTGCCACTATATTTGTTACCGCAAATACACATAACACACGAATAATATCTCATATCTCAGTGGCATATCACACTTTTGTCTATTTCAATGGCAAGAAGCCCCCTGTTCAATTTAAGTTCTTAAAGATCACTTGTCTTAGATATAAAATCAATACTAAAGAATATGTACCCCGACAATTGAATTCTGAAACTCTATTATTGCTCACCCTCAATTTACAACAAAAGGAATGTAGAATTCATCAAATTTGAATTGAAGATGGATGGTGATTTAACTGTTTACTGTTACAAAATTAAATGTTTGATCGATATGAATGCTAAGATCGCAAGATCGACAAAGATATTCCGAAGATGTTAAAACATCTTACTTGATGATTAAATATATTGTTAAATTTACGTTAAGAATTATATATAAAATGTTTGATTATTAATGTATGTCATAACAATAATTGATATTATTTTATCATAAATTTTCGTTTCTGCATCTATTTTTACATTTACAATTTCCAAAAATATTTTTTTTTTTAAATTTAGATGCGTCTAAAAATATGTTTTTAAAATTAAGTAACATTTTAAAATTTTTACAAGGTAATAGTAACCCTTAGAGTGCGAAAAATAACACATTACTTTAAAAAACACACCCATAGTCTTATTTATGAAACAGTGGGCAGGGCAGTCACCCTACGACTCGATTCTAACTGAGTGTAGTTTGCTGCAAATATTTTTAGCTTGCATACATATTTATAAAATTTTATATCGGAGGATTAAATAAATTAATTTATTTTATTTTATGAATTATGTTTTTTTTTATTTTCTGAAAAAATTAATAAAAATAAGCTGAAAACATACTCACAAAAAAATAAATCAAATCAAACAAAATAATTCAAAAACAAGAAAAAGAATGTGACAGCTAACACTCACAATTAATAAAACTAAGTTAAAAATTGAAATCACTCATTTTGAAACGTCGGCAGATTAACGTCCAAAATAAAAAGAGGAGAGATCGCGTGTCATACTGCAAAATGGCTTAATCGCTTGATCAAATTAAAGGATAAAATAAGATCCTCCTTGAGCTTTCTCAAATGCTCGAAACAAAATTACATTTCGAGGCAAAGCTCTGAATTCAGACATATCAACAAAAAAGAACCGCCGTTTTATTGAATTCCCATCGAACTTGCAAAAATACACAACTTACAGCAGAAGACTATCAGGTTCCTCACAGATCCTCAGGGCCATTAATTTCCTGCGCATGACAGTTCAAGCTTTAGGACTACATGGAATGATAATAAATAAGAATATCATGCGGGCAACTAAGGACCATCTGAATGATCAAGTACCTTGTTTGCAAGCACAGTCCCGTCAGGTATTTCTAGCTTTATGCCAGGTTTTGCAATGATACTAACCTTTCCCTGTTAAGGCGCCAGTAAGATAACATGGTCAGATTTATTCAAATTCTCAATGGCTACGTAGGTAGGAAAAATTAATAAACTACTTGCAGAGAGAATACAAAACAGGAACCTCTACAAAGTTGTACTGTCAGTTTGAAAATCAACATGATAATTGTATGATTTGCTGCTGACATTTTTATAGGTTGTTTGGTTTCCAATTGGCAAGGTCCCACACAAAAATCCAAACATGTTATTAGTTTACTTGTAATAAGGCAAAAGCTAGAAAGTTTCTGGAACAAGCATAAAGATTTTTTTTTAAAGAACATCTCAGTTTGATGTTATACCATTAGAAACACAACTCTGCTCCTAATGTAATACCAATGAAACTTTCACTTTGATTATTGTTTGTTTGGTAACACTGCTCCTAAAGAAGGATCAAACCTCACCACACCTTAGCTGATTCTTAAGACTAGACCTAACAATATCAATTATGCTATTAGCTCAGTGTGCACGAGGAGCCTCAACTTTCCATCTAGTGATTACTAGCTGTTAGTGTTAGAATAGGTTTGTTCTAACAAACAAGTCTAATCATATAAGATATTATTTATTCCCATATCATGACAGTCATATAAAAGGCAACTTCAGCACGAAAGGTCGTAAGATCTTAAGACCCAACACTTGATCTTGACTACAAAGTGCACGGAATTTTTTTCCCCTCAAATCGTAGCACTAAAAGGCAACTTCAGCACATAAGATCGTAAGATCTTAAGACCCAGCACTCGATCTTGACTATACTGGTTAAACCTCTCCTTCCATTGTATATATACTCTTTGATCCATTCAATAGAGTTGGAGCTCAGTTTTCATTCAATTGTAGAGCATCTTATTTACTGCTTATGATTTATGACCGTGGAAGGTAACATTCAAAAGAGAGAACTTATGACTACTAGTAATTGAATTTAAAACAGCAACAAGAAGCATTTCTATGATCTGAAGTAACTAAAGTCATATTTACGCTAACAATGAAACAAAACAGTAAAGAACAAAAGAATTGGGCATAAGGATAAAATCAAAACCTTAAGGGTAACACCAGCTCCAAACCATACATCGCCTGCTACTTTTAGACTGTCGAGCTCAACAATGCTGGGGATTGACTTGAACCTTTCTAAGAAGCTGCTAACCTGTGAAGGAGAGAAGGAAAATCAACATTATATCCACCATCTAACATAAATTAAGCAGAAACATAGATCTTAACCTTCTTATATTCCGGCCCTAATTCAATAGAAGGGTTTTCAGGATTTGCCCTAGCTTGGTTCCTAACAACAAATCCATCTTGTAAAGTGTAAAGGTCTGACTGCAAAATAGTACAACTAATTGCGTTAAACAAAATATTTAAATAATTTGACAAACAAGTTCTCATTACTTCAATCAGAAAATCTTTTAACCTGAACAAGAAGCAAATCTGAAGTTGCCTTCACTGGAAGGAAGCGGGATCGAGGAACATTAATTCCAATAGCCTTATCAAAGAACTGTTTCAAGATATGATATTAAGAGAACTAGGACAAAAGTTTCAGCATTAAAAACATGTTAGTAACATTAACATCTCAATAAACATTCAGTACCTTAATAGCTGCACCAGCTGCTGTTTCCAGCTGAAGAACTTTTACTCCATCAACTTCCTAAATCCACAAATTGTCAGCAATTTAGATCTTAAGAGTCCGGCAACTAACCAACAATATAGCAACCCTGTAAAAGAAAATAAAACAAAAGGAAAAGATGAGCTATTGTCTGTCTATTAATGACAGATATTAACCTTAGGATTGGGAATAATCTCCATCTTCAGAGCATCAGCTTCAACAAGCCTTTTAATTGCTTTTAAGTTCACCCATCTGTAAATCATATGTTGTCAATAATCAGCATGCCAAATGTGAATATAATAATCAGGGAGCAAACCAACAAAACTTACAAGTTATTTGTATTGAAAATTTTGAACTTCTCTATCGACTTAAATTCACTGACCTGCAAGAAAACAGACATTGAATGATCAAGCTAAAAAATTCTCCAACATATTTGCCAATAACTTGCCATTATAATTTACAAGAATGTTACAGCTACCATAAATTATGATCAAATGTGAGAATATCATGGTCAAAAAAGTGTTGCACACTGTTATCAATTGAGCATCAATTTGAGGAAGGTAAATTGATTGGAAAAGGAGAGGGGAGGGGTAACTTTGTTGCCAATAATATAAGCCTCATCCACTTTATTACTTCTTATGGTAACAGATAAACCAAATAAAAACTGCAAATGTGTGTTTGAACATCACACCACTCACTTCCCAGTTCCCACTCTAAATCCTAATTAAGGAGTCATCATTCTGAACGCTGTGCTACCAATGTCACTGGTGGGTAAAACTTTAAAATAGAACATTGACAATTCATGATTCTAATTCATAAGATGTGGCCATGTCTCGTACAATTCAATAGGCTTTTTGTTTTCTCAACATAGGAGCTATTATCAAAACAAGAGCTGATAATGTAAAAGGATTTAGTGAATAAATGATGCTTCATAACTCTCCAAAGTTCCTTATGTTGAATATATCATTTTCGATCTTCAAATTTTCCATTAAAAAAATAGTGTTATTTTTCAAAATGACAGCAATTATAGTCTTTTTCCTTTCCTGTTCTATTATTAAAAACTGGTTTTACCTGGCCATGAGCTCTCCAGCCAAGCAAGTATTTGGCAACTCATTAGCACCAATTCAACTTAAAGGTCCTTGAAAGCCAACAAAATATAGCTATTTAAAAGCAAGTGAGTCATTTCCTTCTTAGTCATAAAAACCCGCATAGTTAACAAAGATCCTTATGCTTTATAATTTACAAAAACAATTACCTAGTGCCTACACTTGGTTAAGGGAGATGATCTAAGAAAGAATACAAGACGGATTTAGTGGCTTACATGTTCATCTGGGACTTGGGCAATTTCCAGGAGCTGCATTAAACAATCAAAGATAATGTCACTTAGCATCAATACCTTAAGATTCTAATTGATCATACCTTTCTTAATTTTATTTAAAGGTTAAGAAAAATAAGGAGGGAGCAAAGTTAAAAAAAGAGGGACTTCAGACATTTACTACAATCAGATTACTGACTTAATCAAATAAATTTTGGTTGAGAAGAAATGAATTGAGCAACAGATACGTGCCTGAACCCTTCCTTCATAAGAAATAAGAGTGCCGCCCTTCACATCAGCCAATGTCTTGGGAGTCACCTGCATTACAAGCACCAAGAAAAAAAATCAATATTATGTAGGTCTAAATCTAAAGGAAAGTTTTTTTATAACAGCCATCTTTAATTACCTCCATACAGTATTCATTCTTGTTCTGAATCAAATGACTTAAGATTTCTTGATTAACCAGTCAAGGATACTGCTGTACTAGAGATACCATTTTCATGTATAAATAACAAACAAGCAATACAACCAAAGCGTAATAGAAAAGAAAACATAAGGAAGGATACTCAAATCAACTAGGGCACCCAAGTTATCTGAATTAGCAACGAACACATACTCCTTACCCTGTAAGAAAGTAAAAGAAGAAAAGATAATGATGTATTAATTATAAAAAAATAAAAGGCAAGGTCCAACTAGAAATAAATTAGGTTCTGGCTTCAACCTGTGATAATAGTGCATCAAGTTTTCCACTGTTCATTAGTGATGGGAAGACATCTCCATGGCCAGGAGGGTACCTGTGCATGAAGGAATTATTTGTAAATCTATCGGCAGATACATGCTCAAGATTATAGTTATGATCAATCCCATCAATTAAAACTTATCAATTCCTATGTTAAACAGCGGCAACAAAACAGGGGAACCACTTCCAACGCAACCATAATATGATAGCATACTTTCTACTCTAGCTCACTAGTTTTTGGTGAAGGAAAGCAGACGAGTTTATGAGCCAATATGAAATTTGTGCAACTCTTTGGTGTATATGATTAGCGCATAACTCTTGCATCTATGAGGAAAACAAGTTCTCGTCAGCATCTCCTTTTGGACAACATTAAGTGTTGGCTTATATTTAGTGCAAAGCCCGTGGTTTTCTTACAAGTATTTCTTTGATTAATTTTAGCATAATGGGTAGCTTTACTTCATTGATGTTTTCTTGTTCTCTTTGTCTCTTTTCATTTTTTATTATGTAAGGAAGGAGGGTCTTTAATCCTCCAAACTCTTTCTAATCATATTCTGTTCACTGTAATACATATATGATTCTCACACCTTTCAATAACTTTTATTTATAAATGGTGAATTGTCCGACTATTGGATTAAAAGTTTACATGGAATAGATTGAGTATATAAATTTTTATATAATTGAAATAACAAAGATGAAAAATTCTAATAAAACTAGTGTGTCCATGCATCTATATTGCAGAGAAAAAATGCAAATGAAGTTGTACCAGCCGTCTTTTCCAGTCTGCCCTTTGGATGGAAGTGGCAAGAAGTCATCAACAACTAATCGAGGATATTGGCTCTGTAAATTTTTGTTCGTGCAAGAAAAATTCAATTACAATGTTATAACACAATGTCCAGAAAATTCATAATATAGTAGTCCAATAAATCAGAGGTACAAACCTGGTTAAAGGTATGAATCTCAACATTCGAGTTTGTATATTTTTCAACAATCTACAAACAGTCAAATTGTTAGATTGCATAAAAATACAGCCTATGATTCTACACTAGGATGGGGGTCAAAGGTAAAGCTCACATACCTTTTGAGTGTCATCATGAGTGTTGAATGAGTTCATCAAAAGCAATGGAACAGTGCTTCCATATTTGGAATTGAGATTCTAAAACAATTTATGTTATCAGTAGAAAATACACATGAAGTCTAGAAATAGAATGAAAAACAAGCAAAGGAATGATCTGAAAATTACCTCAATTTGGATGACAATTAAATCAAGAAATGTCAACCCATCACGAACTTCAATGACAGATCTGCAGTTCATTTCAATTGTTAACAAAACCAAGTTAAGATAATTTTCTAGAAAAAAAAAACTTATATTTCCAACTCCATGTCATTGAATAAATTTTCTGTTAAAAATTTGATTAAAGTTGTGTAGAGAAATATTTTGCAATTTTTCCCTGCAATAAAAGACGGCAAACCGATTTGCATAAAACAAACTTACATGAGCACCTATACCTATAATTATCTATAACCTTTTATGAGAAGTGACAACACTAATAATAGGATTATGAGGTTAAATTTGTAAAGAGATTAGTTTTTGTTTTCTTCCATTTCTTGTTATAAACTTAAATTGTCTAGCTGAAGAAAAAATCAGAAGGACAATTTTTTCATGAAATTAATCAAAGTATAGCAACATTCTATACAGTTCAAAGTTAGAAAATCGATCTATCTCATCAGCATCCAGCAAGAAATAAAGAAGAAAAACTTAATCATCTAGAGTAAAAATTGAGGATTATTCATATATAATAAAAATTGAGGATTATTCATATATAATCAAGATTATACATAAATAGCAGATAAACATTATACAACAAAAGATGAAAATAACATAAAGTATTATCATATTTAGCATACTTTGGACCAGTGCAGCCCATAGTTGTCCCCAATCCTCCATTAAGCTTCAAAACCACAAGCTTGTCCAAGAGGTTCTTCACGTCTGAAGAACCTGGATCAATTTCGATTCACGTCAAAAACATATCAATTTATTATACAATTATACCATCAAATCGGCTAAATCGAACGACTGGAACACAAAGATTACCCTCAGGAGTTGGTGCCAAACTGTCATAAGGCACAACTACTTCATCAGTAGGTGTTTGGATCTTACTCCATTCCACATGCTGTGCTTCTCCACTGGGGTCAATGATTCAATGCATTGCAGAAAAAAAAATATCAAACCAAAACAAAATAATAAAATCACTGAACATCTTAACATAGTTACAAGAGTGAACATATGCGATTGAAGAATGAAGATCATGAAAAGTACTAACAGAAAAAGCGATTCGCACCTGAGATAACGAGCGACGAGGTTGATGAATCCGATCTTCTCGTTTTCGCTGCATGTAATACAGGTTCGAAATATAAGAAAATATTAACAGAAAAAATAAAATAAAAAATGAAAACGAAAACGAAAACGAAATTCCGATTTGTGATGACGAGAATCGTTGGATTTAAGTGTAAAAGGACATGAATGATGAGTGAGGACCTGATTTGGGACAATGCAGCGGTGGCGGATTGAAGGTTGGAGAGTTTATCGGCGTTGGCGGAGGTAAGCGTAGCGGTGGCCATTGAAGGAAGGTTCTAGAATTTGTAGAGATTAGCGCGCGAGAGTGGGAGTGGTTAATTTGTTATGAGTCTGGTGAAGAGATCGATGGTATTGTTTTTTTGGACAAAGTTTGCAATTTGTATTGTATGCGCCCGAATAAATTGGAGGTAAGACTCTAGATCACTAAATTATTAAATAGATAAAGTTTTATTCTTAAATTTTATAGCTTAAATACAAGATTTTTTTATATTTTAAAATAACCACTTTTTAAATGTATATACACCAAAATAATCAACCTATTAAATAAATTATCAAAATAATTATTTTAAAAAAAAAAATTGAATAGCCGCATATTTATAAAATTGTACATAAAAATTAATTGGAATAACAGTATTTATAATAACAGTAAAAAACGTAGGTAAAAGTCTATTTATCATAGATATATTTTAAAAAATTTATACCTACAATATTTACCATAAGTACAACAAATTATATACCACAAATAAAATTTTTTTATCTTGTAAGTATAAATTTTTCAAAATAAATAAATTTTTATCTCTAATTTTTTTCTGTCACTATATAAGCATGTGTCATCCTATTAGGGTTTATATACAATTATAAAATTGTACATAAAAACTAATTGAAAAATATTTAATAACCCAACTTTTGGGTTGAGACTATGGTCATTTTCTTCAAAAAAATAATATTTCAATGCATAAGATGACACTAATTTGTGTGTGATTCAACTATATAAACATTCATTTTTGCTTTTTTAAGTTAAACAATGTGAAACTTTATTCTATTGCCAATCACCACTCATGGAAGATGCTTCCTCCAACAGATTTCTCGCATGTGTTATAATGCCGAATTGGCCAAATTCTCTAAGAACACTGTGAAAGAGTTCTTCGTTTTTCTCCTTATAGCAGTTTACCACCCCCTATTCCTGCATTCATTCATTAAACAAAAGAAAAGAAAAGTTTAAAAAAAAACATTTCCTTAGATCACAACCACTAGATATAGGGATGTTAAAAGAATTGTAAACAGAAGAGAACCATCGAACTGAATCGAATTAAAATTAAAATAATTGAACTGTTATGTTTGGTTAGAAAATCGAACCATAATGTACTAACAGTTTTAGAATCGAATCATATTACAAATAAACTGGATCAAAATTGAAACCGAACCAAATCAAAATTAAAAATTAAAAAAAAAAACTAATTTTTAAATTTTTTTAAAAAAAAAGTCTAACGTATGGTTCTTTAACAAATGATTGGTTTTAAGTGAACCATTTGCTTATCTGTTTGTTGATTAATTTTAAGTGAAAAGATATTTGGTATATTCGAATGAAAAACTCAACTTAATACCCACAAGTATGAGAATATGAGCATTTGCATCAATCTTGATATGAAGAACTTTTACTTGGATTTTCTCGACAAGTACATCTCAACATTCAAGTGAAAAATGTCAGTCATTTCTCAGCATCTTGTAGAAGTATATTGGCTTGCATCACTGCAAGAATTAAATCAATATCTAATATTTATGAAAATAGGCTCTTAAATAAAAAGGTGCGTAAAGGCACAAAAAAAGGTTTGATGATGTAAGTGTTTTTTAGAATTTTTGAAAAGAGTTTGAATATGCTTAAGTGTTTTAACATTTATTGAAAAGAGCTTGAATATGCTTAAGTATTTTATCATTGAATAAACAAAGTCAATGTTTATTAAGAAAGATGTGAAGTGTGAAAACAATAAGATTTTGAAATAGATAGAAGTTTTGAAAATTGAAAAATGGGAGGAGATGAATAGACTATCCTAAAGCATAAAATAAATGGTCCCATTGTCAGGTAGCCCAAAAGAAATTTTTTACGTGTGCAAGTGAACTAACCAGGACAAAGCAAGCATTTGACACCGGTCAAAACCAGCATTCCATTCCCTTTGAATTTATTCACGTTGTATTATATCTGCAAATCGTTGAGTTGTTATTGAATTTAGAAGATGAATTTGGTGTTGTTGTAAGATGTTGTGATTAATGGTTGAATTGTTGTAAATGAATTTGTGTTTGTAGGATTTGAATGAATTGAGGGTTATTGAAGAAGGTTAAACAAATGTTTGGAGGTGAATTTGGCAGGGTAAGTTTGGCTAGGAAGAGCTTGATGGAAGTGAAGGATTTAACTTCTATTTATAGAGGAAATTGGAGGAATTTGACGTGAGTTTTGAAATGAAGTTTGGGTGAATTTTGTGATTGCTGCGTTTTTATGTTATTGATAAATGTTAAAATGTACTGATCTTGAGTGTAAATAATTGGCACTTATTGGCTTGATTCAACCAATAAACCTCAACTTTTGTGCATATGTTGTATAGTTTAAATTATAGTGTATATATTGTGTGTCGCGTAAATTTCATTGAGTTTAATTGATTTTTTTCTCATTTTTTTAGGTAAATGAGCAATGATATTTTGTCATTATCTTATAAAGCATTGAATAAGCTTTCCAACGCTTCCGACCGCGCGTAAAACGGAGTTACGGTTCAAGAGTTATGGTCGAAACAAGAAATGGTTTGCTGTCATGTTCGCTAAGTGAACAGCAGTTCGCTAGGCCACTCGCTAAGCGAGTACTGGGACCCATTTTTGTCTATTTAAGTGATTTTTTTAGCATTTTTTAGGGTATGTTGTTTGGGAGCTTTTTACCCCAACTTCATCAAACACATTCTTGAGTAGATTTAGCTTAGAAACAACATTGGAGGGTGCATCTTGACGATCCGGAGTCGAATCCACTTCAATCGGAGTTGACAGACCGTGAGATTTGTGTTCTTCTTCCTTCTTCTCTATGTATTTTTCATTTTTTAGGGTTTTGTATGTAAGTTTATCTTGATTGTATGTATATTTATGGATCTTTGTATAAAATCTCTTTTACGACTCTTTATCGATGGTTATCTTGATTTTTTACTTAATGGGTTTGGATTGCTATAGACATATACGGTTCAAACTCGATCTAAGATGAACATCTATTGGATTCTAAATGTTAGAGATAGATTTAGGACTAATATTCATATGGGTATCGATTCTTAATGCTCCGTGTTGTCGAGTTGTGTGAGAGATCAACAATGAGACGGTACGATTGATCTCTCGACTTTGCGTTAGAGATAAGCTCTGTTGTGAGCGATAGGTGATGAAATTGGCGAGCAAATTAGGTTGCGTGCATTTGATCCATATATTTTTTAGTACATGATGGGTAGAACGAAATACAACTCCTGATGAGTTTTCTCATTTCTTAAGAATGTACTTATTTTCTTGTTTTATGTTTTTCCTTTTGAATTTTTATCCCAAACCATTCAAACCCAAGCTTAGAGACGTAGAGATTGTCGAACGACATTCTTTCCCTCACACTGATCCCTGTGGAGACGATAAATCCCGGAGGAAATTCTTCTGAAAATAATATTTTTGCTTGCTACTTTACAGCTTCAACAAAATGGCACCGTTGTCGGGGATTGGTTTTGATATTGAGTCGCATTGCGATAGTTTCTATATTTCTAAGCTTTGCACATAATTGTATATATATGCTTGTATAGATACTTGTTTTACTTTTGTCTTCCATTATGTTTGTTTAAGTGTTGTATATATTTTGTTATCGTAACATTTGTTCAAGTGTTTGGTTAGGACACTTTCTTTAGATTGGCGCTTTGACAAAGCATAGACGTATATGTGAGGAAGTTACTAGCAAAGAACACTAAAGGTGTCGAGCTAACGACATGAAACAAGCGCTTGTTGGGAGGCAACCCAACGGTTTTTGAGTTTGTATAGCTTTATGTTTATTTAGTTTAATTCAATTTTGTTAGGTTGTTAGAATAATGTTTGTGTTTGCTCTCAAGTTTGTTTTTTATTAGCTTGAGGATGCATTTTGTGATTTTCCAAGTTTGATCATTTCAACTTGCGAATGTATGGTTTTGATATTGTTTGAAGTTGGTATATTGCAAGGTACTCGTTTATCACTTTCTAGAACCTAGCATGATTATGAGACTTTTCATTTGTACAATTTTTATGTCATTCATTCTTTTGCCATACTTGTTCAGTTTTGAATCACTTTAGAACTAAACCTTTTTGTGAGGAGCTTTCCATTGTTTAGTATATGCAGGAGACCAACATTCTTGTTTAACTCGGTTTTATTATGTTTAATCTTGTATTTGTGTTGATTTGTATGATAGCACTAAAATGATCAAGGCATTTTGTTTGATTTTGAGCATAACCACTTGACCAAATAGTCAATCTACCTTGTGAGTGAGTGAGAATTTGCTTACCCCCTTTGAGCCTCTGTTAGAATCCATATTGGTGTTAAGTTCATTTTTGTATGGATTCTAATACTTTTTCTTGAACTATAACCATGAATTGTTATTTGAGTTTTTACCCTTGCCTAATAAGTTTGGGAGCATTCATGTCACTATGTGTGGTTGTATTCAAGTTGGGGAGAAGAGGTTGGTTGCTAAGAGGTTGAGAAAAAGAAAAAGTTTGAAAAAGAAAGAAAAGAAAAAATGAAAAAGAAAAAAAAGGAAAAGAATTGAAAAAAAAAGAAAAAAAAGAAAAATGTTATGCGAATAAGTTGCGTGGAATGGTGTAACAATTTGGAAAAGAGAAAAAGGTGATTGGAATTTGTGAGTGCTTGAGATTGTGAGAAATGATCACTCTCATTTGATTAGGCAAGTTTTTGTTCTTTTACCTTGAGAAAAACAATTTTTTTTGTTACCCAAGCCACATTACAACCCTTAAAGCTCTTGTGATTTTTGCTTTTATACTGTTCAATATGAGTTTTTTCTTGATGAATGCATAATTTAACTTGTTGTTGACTTGATTGTTGAGTGAGAGTTAAGTCCCTCGTATTTTTTTTATTCATCTACCGATGAAGTGTGTGCTAGGTGTGATCCATTTTTGAACTTTATATTGTCTTAGAATTTTTGACATGTGTTTTGTATTTAGAAGTTGTTTCGTTTTTATGTTATCATTATAGTTTAGTGGTATGTTTCGCTTTGTATGTACA